ACAAGAACATTTTTCTCAATGTTCAATGAAACTGGTTCATTTCTCTCTCTCTCTCTCTCTCCCTCTCTTTCTGAAATATGTTAGTTTCCTTAACCTCGTTACGCGGTCGCCATAAAATTAAGTCGGCATTCATGACTGCCGAGATCATATGTGTAAATTTCACTTTGTGCGTGCAACCCTATGACATCACGATTGAAAAAACACTCCAACGTGGAAACCTCACAGAAGTTGGCTGCCTACCAGAACACGATTAGGCTACAGCGTGCTCGACGATTATGTTGCAACCACGTTTAACCGCCGTATCGCCTCGCGTTACGCAAACGTTTTACGCTGACGATCTTTGCGTGTCCAACGTATATAAATTTCGTCCTGCGCTATGCGGCGGGTATTTCGGGGCGCGTAAACCGCGAATCGACGTGTCAACGAAACGCCGAGCGATTCCCTCGACGAGACTCGCACCGTGGTCTGCGGTTGACGTCGATTAATCACACGCGTACACGCACATCGGACTTCTCGATCGCATACGCTGACGTATGCGTGTGGGTGGCACGTATGTGTATACGTGTATGCATGTATGGTGCGCATGTTGCGAGCAACGACGCGGCGGTGACTTGCACCTACGCCCGCCGCCTATCATATTAACGTGTAATTGAAAGATATCCGGTCGGAAAGCGGCGCCGTGATTTTTTGTGGTGTCACTACGGACGGTTGCGCTCTGCGGCGAACGATCGCGGGGTGACTTGCACCCCACTCGAGGCGTGACCATTCGAGCGGAATCATGTCGTCTCATGTCTGTGAGATTCGAGTGGGCGACACCCGTTATTTAATCCTCTGTCCACCACCTGAGGGCATATCCTAGAGAGCAGGGTTAAAACTTCGAGAACAGTTGTCATCTGCAGTTCTGGACAAGCAATGCTTCGGATAAACTTGATAAGCAAGCATATATCAAGTTCTCTTCCGCGGGCTGCGTTCGAAAACACCACCCGAGTGCTTTTGAACATCATTTTATCCTTATTGTTCTCTAAATGTTAAACAAAGAATAATAAAGTTATACTCGGAGGTACTCCGAGGCATAGTTTTTTTTTCGAACGCGCCTGTGAGGGTCGATTGTGTATCTTGAAACGAGATGAAAATTACAAAAGTGAGCAAACTTACTAAGTGTTGATCAATAAAATCATAAATATATATATATATATTTTAGTAAATTCGTTCATTTTATAATTTTCACCTCGATTAAAAATAGTAATTAATTCTCTGGTAAAACAAAAGGATTATTTTGTTATCATTATATCATTATCATTATTATTGTTGCTCAAGAAAAAGCTAGAAATATGTAAAATATCTGTTAAATATTTTAATATATTCCTAGCAAAATCTAGAGTGATGATTTATATTTATCATGTCAATCTTTCAACGTCGAAATAATTATTATTCACATATTGCTGCAAGCCAAAACGAACAAGACCAACCGCATCGATGTATCATAAAGCCACATGTGTAAAAGACCGTGACATCGTAAACAAAGACTCTCTTCGCGTTATTAATAATAACCGATGATTTCGCTTCGGATGGAGGGTAGGCTGCTTGGCTTCTCGGCATTTAAGTTGGCTTCGGCTCGTGACGGGGCCGCCGTCATACGAAAACATTCTTCGTCGATTTACTTTCGGGAATCCACGCATAAACGTTGACGTATTTAAGGGAGGCTGTAAACCATCTATTTCGGTGTCTCGGATGCCACGGATGGTCGCAGCGTCCCGGATTATAGCTCAATGTGTGAAACGGCGTTAACATTGTGGAATTTTCACTCACTTCCCGGGTGACCTTCCATTACCGGAAGCGTCGTGACATATTTACGAGGTGTTCCATTATTAGAATGTTAAACACGAATTTTCCAAGAGATCAAATTCTTCGTGTGAATAACATGCATTTATGAAGTCTTAATATAATTTAATCTCATCTCAACGTTCTCTTTCTTTATCAATATTTTTCTTCATATTTTTCTCAGTACTTACTTCGGTGATTGATAAGCTGCTTATTTTATTAAAAATAAAAATAATAGTAAGAAAAACAATTAATTACTGGTGTACGAAATGTTAATGACAATTAATGAAATCAACAATATCAGTTGATGTACAAGTTTCAAATTGCTATATCGGGCCTGCGAAATGCAAAAAAAAATTCGTCACACTTAGACGCGATAAGGCTCGAGGCTAGCTGACGAGACCTTCGTTTTATATGCCGGTGATGTTCGTCCTCTTACAACGGCTGCCGGTTATATCAGAATTGCTATCGCTACCAGGAGGAGGCCTCGTCGCCGGGTAGATTTGCTGGTTGAACGGCGGTACGACAAGGAGTTATGATATCGGCGTCGATCGCCGTGCCAAGTGAAAACACGGTGGCGTGAGTAATATACAACCATAGGGCGATCTTTTATAGTGCAGGAGACCCCGAAGGAAATGATCCGCGGCTACGTCTCGCATAGATAAGATCATTCTAACCTCGGCGAGAACGAGAGGAGAGGATCAAGGAGGAGCGAACCCGGAGAGTAGTCAGCGGAATCTAGTCATAAATAAAAGCAACGTCTGCTACCAATGCCAATCCTGCCTCGACTTCGTCGTTGTGCTGCGTTGTTGCGTCTCCTAACGGAAAGTTTAATAGTTCTGATCTTATACCGAGACAATTGATATACGAGATTACAAAATCCTCTGTCAGTTATTTGGAAATAATAAACTTGCGAACGCCGTCTATTACTAAAGAACGTTTCTTCTTGTCTTGCTGAGGAAAAAAGAAACAAGAATAAAATCTGAGGAGTCAGTTGAATGTGGAATTCACTGAAGAAATGATGCGCTAAATATGATTAATGATCGTATTAAGCCTCATTCACAATGTTCTCTTTGTTTTCGTGCCTTAATTTTATCATTTTTTACCTCTTTACCTTATCCTTTACCGTATCCTTCTTTATTTTCTATTGTCCAAGATAAAAAAGTTGACGAACTTCGAAAGAGACTGAAACACGTGATAAGAAACATGGTTGCCGATAAAACGATCGCAAAGAGGGAAAAAGGCAAGAGATAAGAAGCAAGAAACAGGAAGCAAACAGCATATTGTAGATCAGACTTTCGATTCCATGGATTCCAAGATTAAAAATATAATTTGATACGGTAGATCGCATAAAATTAACTCGAGACAAGATTTGATCGTCTAGACTGACTCACAGCAACTCGATCACTGAGAAAATGCACACGACTAATCTCTGATCACCACGACAAGGAGGCGGGACACTGAACCGCACATCGGATTCTAACTCGACCGGCATCATTCAACGCTCATTATTCGTATTCCGTTAGACGCGAGCAACGTCCGCGGAAGAGCACGCGGAACGTCCGCAGGAGCAAATGACAGGAGGATCGGCGGGTGAGCGGTCAGGAAAGTGGCACAGCACGGCACGGCACGACCAGCTGCTGTAACTGAGGCTAAACTACGTCCGCGTGTCTTCCACAAGCGCGAAGGTAATCAGGGCCACGGGGTCTGCCATTACCTGCGGGCATTATCGGCGATGGTAGTAGCACAATATGGTAGCCGATGCTCCAATATCGCGGTAGTGCGATGTGGCAGCCGGATTCGAGTCTCTCCCTTGCTCACAACTTAAAGAGGAGAGTCCACTCCCTCGTCGAAGGATACTGGACGCAATGCCGATTAGACCGGCAGGACATCTGCGATTTGAATGACAGAGGATCGACGATTCGGTGATCTCACCGATGGTCAAATAACAGCCTCCGGGTCTTCGTGACCGGTAGGCACGCATATCCCGGCGCGGTAGGTCGATAGTTCGGCCGCTTAGCCGAAGAAGAAGCGCCGAGAGTCCATGCGGGATGCATGTCGGTGTACACGTAAGTACACGTGTCTGATTGAACGACCTAGCCGTTCTCCAACCTTATCCTCCTTCTCCTCCTCCTCCTCCTCCTCCTCCTCTCTCCTTCCTCTTGCTGTTACCTCTCGACAGGTGCGTTGGCCGGGGATTAATGCCCGATCGTCTCGAGGATCAAAAAAGCTCTTAAGGCGAACTAACCGCGCGCCGTATACGGTAATTTCGTGAATACGGCCCCGCTTGATTCCCTATCCGCTTTTAATCGTAAGTGCGAGAAGGCGAACGTGTTTATGGGAGTGGAGAATAATTTCAAGAGGCGGAGGGCATGCACGTAAAGAAGTCATACCGGATGGAGCAATGGAAGTTATTTATGCGAATCCGATTAAGTCAGAATTTAAGCAATATTTTGAGTTGTGAAGTAATTTTATCATTAAATACAATATATTATAAAAACAAAAAGAATTATTAAATCACTTATATCATTGCTTTGATATTGTTGTCAATTTCTGCAACCTTACGAAAATTGATTATTAATACATTTATTACATTTATATGTATATAGAAAAATATTTTACATTATAATATAATCTTAAATTTTTATATGATAATTATTTATTTACTATGATGTTTGTAAAAAATGCAACGGTCTAAATCACACATTTTTTGTTTTGTTGTTACTGTACTTTTTAATAATTTGAAATTATTCTTACGATTTATAATCTTAAATCATAATTCTTGTAAATTTGAGTTATAATGGAAGATATCTACAATTTTTACAAATATATGAATTTTTTAAACTTTTTAGTTCCACATATTGTTTCTCATTTATGTATATACCAACAATAAATTTTACATTATATTCCTTTAAATAGATCATCAAAGACAATACAAAGACGGTAATAAAAGATTAGTAGTAAACTATTAGAAAAAAATATGATTTACATTCACATTTGTATTTGTTGCGCTCAAATACCGAAAGCAAACGGAAATGGGGCGTCTGCAGCGCCAATTTAAGATTGGAGTTTGCGGAACCCTGGCTCGTTACGTCGCGGCAACGAGCCCGTCCTAATTAATCGAGAGAACTAAATTATGCAAAGGTGCACGCGCACCGGAACTTAAGTTCCGTCGCGAACTACTCATAGTGGGCACGGAACGGCGCGTTGTTGTCGCTTCGCGCCGCCTTGTTCGTCTTCTTGTGGACGTCGAGCCGCGAAAAGGCCTCCGTCCATTGCTGCAGCCCCAGTATATCCGCGGCGTCGCCACGCAGGCAATCAGACACCACCTGCTGATCCCGAGAGGACACGCGGAATCCGTTTGCCTGTCCCGTCCTCTTTCTTGCGCCGCCATCGCCGCCACTTCCTGAAATCTCCATTACCGCATCACCGACGTGAGAATCACGCGACTCCCTGGCGGCGTTTGCGTACGCGTCATTAGCGTTTCTCAGGGTTGACTTCACGGTGGAAGATTCGGAAGAACGGGACATTTCTCGCTTCCACGGCTTATAGATGAGATTTCTGGTACGTGGCACGCGCCATTTTTCTAGATTTTCTCTGTTGTAAGGATAAGGATCGCCGGGTAATCGTATATAATCGCCATCGATGATGTCTTCGTTGCTCGGATTATCGTCTGCGTCCTTCTCGTTTGAGTCAAAAGTAGTACTATTGTTCCTCGAATCTTCCTTGGTCGATTTGATCGCGTACGATTTGACTGATTCGCTATTAGTTGATTGATTGTTGCAGTCGACACCTGTAACGCCTTTATCATGTAAGTCCTCGTAATTAACGTGTGACTTTTCGTAACGTTCCGTTTCCTCCTGCGCTTCCTCATCTTTATAACGAGGTTGATCCTTTTGCGTAAATTTAGAAGAATTCGAATGAGTAACCTTTTTATGACTAGTACTTTGCAGCTGGTTCATAGAAATCTCCATTTCCTTGTCCGCGATCTTATTTAACGTCTCTACGAGATCAGTGTTCGCTTGTTCCTGATTGCTACTTGAAAATCTTTGAGGTTCTACAGGTAAAAGAGATCGGTTGTTTGGCGTATTATTCGAATCAGTAAATCCTGGATATTTGGTCTGCATAGTTTTATCAAGAGCAAAGTTGCTTAAAAGTGATCCAATGAGTCGTTGAACGATGTTATTCGTATGTACATAACGAATCTGTGTGCTCATAGTGTGCAGTTTCTTGCCGGTAAAGTAACCGTCTGGTCTTTTCGGAGGTCCAACTTGTTTAATCTCTATGGATTTCGGAGACACGTATCCAGAATCCGAATCTTTTAAGTCGTCCTCGGTGGACTTTACAATTCGCACGTCCAACTTCGGCTCTGGCGCTTCCGGACGGATGGATACCAAGTTCTCTAGATTTTCCTCGATGGGCGGTGAATAATTCTCTTTGATTTCCAGGGCTGATCTCGCCACGAGATTCCGCCAGGCCTTAATCTCGAAGTCCAGATCCGTTCCTTCCGGAATGTTGTACTCTTCATTGATGATCGTCTCCTTCAATGTGTTCGGCGATGTCCTTATGATTTTTCGGAGCTCTTCAGAATTCATATATAAGTCCGTATCATCGCTATCTTGTCGCACTGCAACAATATCGTCACTCGAGTAGGTCTCCGTCTGATACGACGGAGTCGAGAGATAGTCCGCGGTTGTATCCTTCACATTCGACGCATACGATTTCTTCACCGAATCGTTCGGCGTTGGGATAGCATCGGTCTTTGCTCCATCGGTCGTGGTATCGCCACTCCTGAAGTTCAAAGAGGCGTTTCGAGGCTTCTCCGCGTCTCCCTCAGAACCCGCGGTCGCCGGCTTCGATTGTTCCAAGTTCCAAAACCGCTCCGTGACGTATTGCTGATCCTTTTCGGCGAACTTATCGCTATCGTTCGCCGTTTCGTCGACCGGTTGTTTCTTGGCGAGTTTCACGCCCCAATTGTAACGAAACGTTGCGTCGGGATGATCCTTCGGGTTATCGCTCGCCACCATCTCCGCTTGGTTCTCGCTACTATCGACAGATTCGCTATCCGTACGTATTACCGGCTTCTTCTTCTCCTTCTTGTCCTTTTTCTCGTCCTTCTCGCGCTTTTCGGGTACGTTAGGCTCTTTGATAGGTGGCTTTGTGTTTCTAGGAGCGAAACCCACGAGCGCGCGCGTTGGCATGCTGATGTATCTATTCGGGACGCCCAATCCCATCAGCGGCTGTTTTGTCCAATGTGGTGGCAGGCGATAACAGTGTCTCGGGCTCGTGTAACAACGATAATGCGAGGCCACATCGAGATCGTCTCTTGCCGCAAATTCGATCGCGCCGCAGTTTCTCTCGGATCGATACATCTTGCCAAGATCGCGCCATAAGGAGTCAGGTTCTATCCCGCGTTCGAAAGTTTTTCCAGCCGCAAAACGATTCGACTGCGACGTAGTGTAGATTGCCGACTGTTGAATCGTGTACGCACGTCCGCCGTTCTTCGCGTCACGCTTCTCAGCACGGATGTTCTCATACTTGAACTTCGTCGTCGATCGCGCCGTGCAAAAGTTAGCCAGTTTTTGATTAACGACGTCGACCTTGTCCGAAGAATTCGCCAGCCGCATTTCTGATCGATTGAATGTTGTTGCCGTTGCTGCACGATCGACGATCGCGGTGTCAGCCTTGCGGCTTTTATTCTCTGCAACATGATATTTCATCCACTTACATTATCTGATATTACGTGATAAAATTTAGAGTCTTTGCATCATAACTTTTTAAAAACAAAATATGCAGCACATCTTTTAATAACTTATTTTAATCATAATTTAATTTTACCTGTATAGTATTATATCATTTTATATTAAAATTATAAAATACACATATATTAAATCAAAATATAAATAATGGCAAAATAAATAATTAAATTATCCTATAATTATACTAAGATGAAGGAAAAAATTTCATTGTAAACTACATTATTTTTGTAATTATTGTTTTAATAAATTATAGTTTTAATAAATAGTTAGTCAGAAACACACATGCAATATCATGAATTGTATGATTTAATTTTTGCATATTTTATAACATACATTATGTAACAGTGAATGACAGAAATAACCTCTGTCCCAAAAATGACATCAGCATTGCGGCTCACCTGCGGATTTATTAAAAATATCCTTCAACCATGTGAAGAATCCATCTCGTCCGCCAACACTCTTCTCGTTAATATGTAAGGCGGATGCTGCGTAAACAAAAATTTTGTATTATAAATGCCGTTTCTAATTTGAAGGATCAAATGCATGGTATTTTATAACACATCATGTATTTGTAATAGTGACGCGTGATTACACTGACTTTAGGGTGACTGACCGGCAAATAAATTCCTTCGGGAATTAAAGTTAAACAACCCTCGTATGACATCAATTAGGTCGCACTGTCGCCGCAGCATCGCACCTCTCGAATACGAAGAATACTTGTACATAGTTTAATATAAATTATACTAGTTGAATTTTGATGGTAAATTTTCCTGGATCTGTTTGATCCACAATTACTAAAGAATCTTATTAACAAGCTTGTCAGATCTTTTACCGAGACCGAGCTGGACCGAGCCTCTTCAGTCGCCTGTATTCTCGTTTGATTTACCGTATTTTGTTTATCGTTGAATAGAAATGCGAGTGGAGGCAATATTGCATTGATTTAAAGTTTTATTTTTTTGTCATAAAGCTAATTGTAAAAATTATTATTTGATTTTTTTCGAAGGAAGAAACTTTTCTCTGAGGAAGTTAAAGTATCATAATTTAAATTGAAATAATCATTAGTTATGCTCAATAAATTACACACAAATTCTGTAATTAATAATTTATTAATAAAACTATTAATTAATTTAAGTAGATTTTAAATTTACATTAATTAAATATTAATTAATTGACTTATATATAAAATTTATATTATTTTTAAAACTTATATCTACATATTATGTTTTCTCTTTATACCTTTTTTATTTATTTTATCAATGTTATATCACAATTTATTTATAACGAACATTACCACTCGGCTTATAGTAAAAAATATTGACTTGTGTTAAATCTTAATTATTCTTAACTACTCTATAGAGGCAAGTTGACTCAACAAAAGCACGAACTAGACCTCGGTTAATCATTGGCAAAACTTTTCTTCCCATGAGACACGAGACCCTCCGGCGGCATTAATGGCATAATGGATCAAAGATGAGCAGAAAGATCACACACGCGTACTATTCGATGTCACGCAGCCATGAAGAAAGCGTCATCTATTTTTACATTTATTTATTATTAGCTATTAAATTTAACGCATCTCTCTTTTAATTTAACTCGTCAGAAAACGTAGAGTTATTATTTAATATAAAAGTTAGATGACTAATATTTGAAACTTCTCGCGTACAAATAGTTTCGATCGAATATAGGATAAAGGACTGTGCAAGAAAGAACGTTATGGGTAAAGGATCGAGGTTGGCTCACATTGTCGCGTGAGAATAGCCATGGCCATTCGGGCCACGTACCTTGATAACCGTTAATAAAAGCTTAAAGGACATTATCGTAAGCATTCCTCGGGACATTAAAAAGCGCACGTGCCCTTAACGGTAGGCCGTAGATGCAATTTTAAACAGCCATTTCCGACCCTCACTACCAATCGTCCTGGCTGACACATGTCCCCGATGCTGTTACATGAAACCAAGGGTTCCGCCGGACTGAATACCAATCGTCCTCCACAATGCAAGCAGAGTAAGAGCAATAAAAATGAAGGGTAAACGTTTGGTTTCGTATATTATCTTTATTAATGCAACTGTTACATTTTGATTATGACTTGATTATGATCAATAACCGTTACAGTTATACTGTCACTATAGTATATAACTGTATTCTAGAGAATCGAGCGGTTATTATTGATCATTTCTATTCTTTACATTAACATTATATTTGTTAAAATTCTAAAATATTTTTTACTTTTCAATAATTTTGTTCTTTATATTATTGAAATATTTAGAATGTTTCATTACTTTCTTTATTTTTAAAATAATTTATTCGTCCTTTTAGTGAGTAAAAGTTTGCATTGGTATCAATATTCTAATGTTAACTGTAAAAAATTACCTCGAATTTATAATATTTAATTTATTAACACATATATATATATCGTATTTTAGGTAAAATCTTTTAAGTACTTCTCTTGTGTCCTAAAATATATACCAATATTTATTTTTCTACGAGTGAACGAAATTAAGACATCGAAAAGGGGATGTGATAGAAGGGCGGTGGTACATCAGCCATAAATTCGTGGGTCCCCAGCGCCAAATAGCGAGTGTCGCACCGCAATGCCAATTGTATAAATTGGCTATGACAAACTTATCGTTTTATACGTGCGCGACTGGAAAGATTTCGTCCGGTCGGAAGTATATAGCCGATAGGACAGCATTTTTCCCGGTAGGAATTCAGTACAGGTGCGTTTTGGGTCCCGTATGGTCGTTTGAGACATCGTTCCCTGGGGGGACTCGTACGAGAGAACGTGATGTTCCACCTTCGGCCGCTCACGTACACGGGGCACGCCATTGGGTTTTGTCGTGCGATTCGTCGCATACGACATCTTGCCCGCCGCCGCTCGTAAATCCCGACTCTGCCGGAGACGAATGCTGTTAGGGATTGCCGGAGAACGGTCTGGACGATGAGATAGGATGATACATATTTTTTGTACATCCCCACAGAAGCTTTACTTATACGCTTCTAGGACGATTTCATACTTTATTAAGTTATTGTATTATACATATTACAATTAATTGACAAAGTTTTACTTTGTTTAATATATTAAATTTTTTTAACATATTAAATTAATCCGATAAGATGTTATGATAATATTTCTTACAGATTTTAATTCCGTTTGCCAAGTTTATGAAAATGGCACGGTTTTTTATGAATTTAATATTTAATATTCAATATGAATTTAAAAATTATATAAAAAAGTCCGTAAATTAAATTGTGTAACCTTATTTTCAGAATCGACATTTAAAATAATAGATAAGAATCAACTGAAATTATCAATTTAATAAAATTATCTATCATTATTATATGGATTACATAATTCTGAACAAGATATTCTTATATGATGATAGAAAGAAAATTGTGACAGTATTACTGATTTATTTATAAGTTGTAAATTTTTAACAATGTGCCATTATATTTTTTTAGATCTGTAATAAATGTATAACGTGAGCAATAACAGAGGAATGATTAGAAATAATGAAGAATTAGATTAAATTCATTTTAATGTATATTTAATTACGCTTTCAATTTAGTGGCTGACATTGTAATGCCTGCGGATTTATTTCTACCCCAAGATGCGTTCGCAGAATCATTTTCGGCGTTCGGCGACCAGAATCACGGCGATTAATTTCAGGTCTGTCGTCGACAATCGTTTACGTTCGAAAACGATTTACACCGGGCGTTTACCCGCGCTAAGAGCTTAAAGCGCGTCGAGCAGGCAGGGTGAGTTTACATTCAGGGGGCGACGCGTGGGGTTGAAACCGCTCGTTTATCAGTAACCGACTCTAGTGAAAGCGACACCGAGGCACTACGCCGCACGAATAACAATCCCCCTACCTCGTGCCGAGGCGATGTGAAAAGTATTGCCGGCGCGACATCACCCGATGCGAACATCGCCGACGGACGTTATTTATCCGACCCGCGCGGCACTCTCTTTTTTTTATTTCCAATTCACTTAGCCGCCAACGAGGAATTTCCTGAACTTGAAAAAAACCACGGGTCCGCACGTCGAAGGAACCGCTCCACAGAATCGCAAACGCGTCTCCGCCCCTGGAGAAACGTCAATTTTGATTTCCGTCGATTTTCCAGTAGCACGATTGCGTTTGAATATTTCAAGAAGGTACCCTTAGTAGTAACGGATATCCAAGAGATTATATTATATAATATATAATATATCTAAAATATAATATTATGATGTCAAACGTAATACTTACTAAAAATTGATGCCGATTATTATTCAATTGATCTTAATCATATACTCAAATTAATCATTGTGCATTGTTGGGCTTAGAGTTAATTTCGTGTGACCGATAACCGGTGTCCGCCGGCGTATCATTCACCCTGTCGACGAGTAAAATTGAGTTCGACGACTAGCTGCGCGAATCTCATCTGGCGGGCATCGAATTCAAACCGAAACGGGGCATCTTCTTGTCGACCTATTTTGCAAGTGTCGTCGGTGCGCTGGGCTAATTTGTCAGTTGTCGAGTTAGCGTCCTCCCCCGAGGATTTCCCTACCGGAGCTGAGCCCCGACCCCGTCGGGACCGTAATCAACCGGTGAATATCTAAACTGCAGCCTCCGAACTCGTCTCTTCCCTCCTTACTCCGCTCATTTATAAAGAAGAGGCTATCTCGAGACAGGAAGCGCGATTGATTCATCCCCCATCCCAATCTCACCCCGAATCTTCTCAATGCTTGTAACCGTTTTTATTTAAGCACTGGCAAAAGCCCGCTTGCCGGCTCAGGTGTTGAAACTCGTAACCCCGCAGGAGTTTGTAAATGTTCGTAATTTCAATAAGAGAAAAAGATTTAATTGAATAGTCGAACATATAACGTAAAAGTAATCATATGAAAGTTTATTATTATTTCTCGAAATAAAAGTAATCTATGACTGAAAGAGAAAATGCTGAAAAACATTATTATTGAAATCACTTAACAGAAAGCCCGTTTCTTTTATTTCAAACACAGAAATCAGTAAGAAAGAACACGCGGTTAAGAGGAGCAGGCCTAAAGTTAAACTTCTCAGTAAACGGGAAGAGAGCACACAGGGACAATGCCCTCCATCCTTTTTCGTGAAGGCTGAAAAAGCGGAAGCAGAGAAGATATCTCTCGAAAAGTGGCAGTGCCTGTGCACATGGCAGGTGGATTTTCTCCGTTGTCACAAGAGCGGCTCAGTGCGAGCGTGCCACTTTCCTCGTAGCGAATTTCTTCTCTCTCTCTCTCTCTCTCTCTCTCTCTGTGCATTATTTAAATAAACAAGCAGGGCGCGGCGGGGGAGATTGGGCTGCTGCTTATACGCCGTTTCTACCGTCTCTGTTTCTCTATAATAAATGCGCTTCTCGACTCTCCCTCCCCACTTTCTCATTTCCTCTCACTGCCACATCCAACTCTCTTTCTCTCCCTCGCCCATCGCCGTCGCTCTTGCACACTCGAGCGCGCTCTCGAAACGTTACAGTGACGAACAATTATCCCTTCCACGCGAAGGCGCGGCGTGAAAGCCGGTAGAAGTGACAGGCAAGGGGGTGCCGGCAGCGGGAGGAGACCCCTGCACCTTGTAATGAATTTTAAATTGGCCCGCATTCATAATGCAGCCCCGTTGACAGTCGGGATGAACCGGAGATGACAAAGTAAAACGGCCGGGTTAATATTTCCGGGCGCGTGCGCCGCGAATTACCTTCCTACAACGGCGACGACAATGAGGATGACGACGACGTCGACGATAGTCGACAAGATCGAGTACCGTGCGTGGATAGAAGCGCGAGATAAAGCGACCGGTGAAATTGTTTCGATACATAATGCTATCTACCGCATATGATCGGCGGAATAACAGCGATTTCCCGGTACCCGACCGCTCCGCAGGTTCGCAGACCGATCGTAGATCAGCAATTAGCTGCTTCGTACGTACGTACGTCTTATACAAAGTTACGAGATGCGAGATCGGATGGCGACCGGCCTCGCCCAAGCGTAACGCGTTGTCGCACGCTTTTATCGCGGGGTACAGTAATTAGCGATTTTTGCATAAAGTTCCGATACCATCGGCATCGGCCCTGTCGTCTGTGGTTATAATCTCGGTCTCCGTCCGGTTGGACCGACCCTAAAAGCCCGCGGAATATTTATTATCGCCCGTCGCGATCGCATCTCTCCGTCCGACGCCGCCGCCGCGACGTTTCCCCGTTACGCATTTTTTTCCGCGACCGTAAATTATAATATATCGGACGGGATCGAGTTAAATTGCCATCCCCATGGTGAATTTACGAGGAAATAATCGCACGCATTTACGAAGGTAATAATAACAATTTTCGTCGCAATAAAGGGTACGCCTGTTTACGCATATAATCTTGAGTTCAACGAACAGCGCTGCCAAAGTTGCGACACACATTCCAAGACCTAAATTTATCTATCGATGGATATTCAATTCATTAATACGCTTGAAAAAATTATATAAAATATATTATGAAATATATATATATATGAAATAAATAAAAAGAAGTAATTAGCTAAAATAGAAGTCTGTATAACTAAAAGTAATTTGTATGTATAGAATAAAAAGATAAATTGATTATTTATTGATTAATTATTTTTATTGTATATCGTTACATAGTTTATATTGATATTTATTGTATATATCTGTTTTCCTTAATATTTAAGAAAATATATGTCAGATGTCACATTAACAAAACAATTTTAAATGAAAATTTTCTCATTTTAACTTAATTATTTTTTCAAAATGTGTATACTTTTTGATGAAATAATTTTTGGTTTTGAAAAAATCAAACTTTCATCACCAAATTTTTCCATTACTTTCAAATAAAATATAAAAAATCTATTTTTTCATAATTTTTTATTACGTTAAAAAATATGTGCAATACAAATAATTTTGAATCAATAATCAAGCATTTGAATTGCAGATTAAAATAAAATTTATCCATATTGTATATTGAACTATAATTAATGGATTTGAAATTTAATTATATCAATTCATAAACGTATGAATGCATGTACAGCTTGTTTTCTTTTGATTATATTGAAAATCCGAAAAGTTGAGCACGCAATCATATCTGAAACAAATTGATTCAATAAAAAGAATATATATAATATTATTCGAAACATCTAACTTTGACCGAATCGGCGTACTTTATCTCGTATTTGTTGTTTTCTTTTCATACAAAAGCCATTTAATTAATACTGCGAGGCGGAGTAACCTAACTGCTGCTGTTGTATCGAAGGTTTCAGTTTGACGTGCATAAACCACGGTGCAATTCCTAGTGTAGCTACGAAGGGTTTTGCAAGTGCCGTCCTGGGAACTCCGTGCGAGTCGTTGCACATACAGCTAGCACGATCCCGCGAGACGAATCAGCCGAATTGCAGCGGAGAGGGCGAATTCTCCCGAATTCTGGACGAACTGCTCCGTTTATTGTTCAACGACCTGTGGCGTACACGGACAGCGGAATGAGAGGACAGGTAGCCTTGGTTGCTCAAGTTCGTAAACGGAAATAGACATGCTACGCCATGTGGGCAACGTCGCACAGCCCGAGTCGATAAACAGCACTCGATCCATGGTTCGAAAAACCCCGTTATCTGCTACTTCTTTGATCTCTCTGGCGACTACGAGATGCCCTTTGCCATCGCTAAAATCGTCTGTCTCTTGATCAAAGGTGCTCGCAAAGGTCCTTCAGATAATTCCCTACATCTCAATCGTCGTCTATTTCTGCATTCGTCGTAGATGTCGATAGCGTTGATCAATTGACTTGTATCTTCCACGACTTCTCTCGAAAAGATCACGAACTATAATTGAGATAAATCATCTATATATTTAATTGTATTTTTTTAACTGCATTAACTCTGTCTTAAATACAAATATTTAATTATCAGTATAATACTGCGTCCACTTATAAACTGATTCTATTTTACATTTTTCATTTTTCTTGGTATTACACGAATGCTCGTATTTTCAGCCGTTAGTGTAAGCAATGTAATGCGCTACTCGAGGGGAGGAATGCTTCCCGAGAAATACGCGTGTACAGTAGTGCCGAAACGTCTCGAAGGCAGACGATCGAACTTTCCTTGACGTCTCTCGGTGTCGGCTGCATCTATCCCAAAGGGGATCGGCGCGGTACGAGGGGATGCTGTTAACTCGGGCGGGTTTCCTTGCGAGTTCCCTTCTGGTATCTGCAGGTGTATGTTGAGCCAGTGATACTACCGGAAGGCACTTTGAGCCCCCGGGCCACTCTGAGTCTGTAAGTTAGCCGCGTACAATTACCATACATCTCCGCGGTCGTAACTCCCAGCGCCGTTACAGCACTCGGACGAGAGCTATGGACGGATATCCCAACTTGCGAGACCGAGCGGCGTCTCGGGAAACATCTGTACGGTGAAATTGAAACTGGCGAACGGGCGCGATGAATATTGCCGGAATGCATCGTCGATCCGCAACGATACCGTTGATACTCGACCAAGTACAGCTGAAAAGTTATTCTTTGAAAATATACACGTCATATTGATACACATGCACATATATAGTATATTGATCTCTTACTTAAAAAAGTGACACAACTAAAAAAATGTAATTTTGAATTATTATCACAAAATTCAACGTTATCAATCATCTACCAATCATCAAAAATGAAATAACTTAACTTCAAAAAATCGTAAAAATACAACTCAAGAAAAGTAATTTAAAAAAAGTTGTCAAAATCGTCGTTATACTCAAGAATAGTTTTTTAAGAATGTAAAGCGAAAATGACAAAAATGACATTTGATCATATTAAGAATATATTCTTTTTGCAAATATTATTTGATTAGTCACGTCAGAAAAATAGTTTTTCTCTTATCTAAAATATTTAATTCTTTAAGTCGTGTTACTCTCTAAATTTTTTGGAGTGAAATTTTATTTCAAGAGAGTGAAAATGCAACTATTTTGTGAAGAAAACTAAAAATATTTCTTGAAAAGTATGAAAATTGTCACTCTTTTTTAAGAAGTAAAATATTTTCTCTCTTCTCCAAAAATGATTGTATTTTTACTCCCTTAGAGTGAGATTTTACTCCAAGAAATTTAGAGAATGCTTTTAAAGTAAAGGCGATGTATCGCATAAGACATTGATACATTTAAACTTTTATTAAATAATATTTGATGATGGGAATCATCATGATAAATTAAATAAATTTTATCTGATGACTTTATCATGATGATTTTATCAACAGTTTTATCATATAAAGCTCTTTATAATTTTAAGTATGTTTATTTGTCAAATGTAATCGATAAAATACACTTTGGCAAAGATTTCTGTCGATTTGATGGAATACCTTTAACATCTATGAGCACGATTTTTTGCGCAAAAAATGAAAATTGCAACCGCTTTTAAGATTGCACAACAGTTTCGCGTGACTCGAAAAATAATTGACAGAATGAAAACGGTGCGTTTCGTAAAAAAAACAACCTTGGACGTACACCACGGGTTATTATTTGGCTAGAAAGTTGCCATGTAAGGCAATCCTTGTAAATACCAGGTGTCGCGATAAAAATGTCGGATTTTTCAGTTTCAAGCCGGTTTAATTGCGCGTTCGATGAATCATAGTCGTTCCAACAAGCATCTAATCGCGCTGGAAAACGGTCGCGATCTGCTTGTTCGCTTTCTACTTGCGATCGATAATTCGTCGAGATATAGACCAACACTTAGCCCTTTTGCTATCAGTTATGAAATTATCAGTAAACATCGAAATATTTCTGGATTACTGAAATATTTAATTGTATATATAATCACTATTATTTTAAATGGCAATATAAAAATTTCAGCTTTTCTATTTAATAGAAAAAAAAATTACCCTAGAATTGAAAAGGAATACTTTATGACTTAAATGTCTTAAATGAAAAGTTTTAATACACTTTGTATTTTTCAAAAAGTGTGAAAATATCACTTTTGGCAATTATAAAAGAGAATGCTGGAAACTATTACATTTTCATCATGGAACGTCGTTGGGATAAGAGGATTTAAATTTAAGTGAGTTCATCGTTAAAAAGACAAACAAAGAAATCCTTGTAGAAACCCTTTTGTACGACCTTATAAATGTCAGTAGAGCCGCCAAATCTGTCACCCTGACGGCCTGCGGTTTTTTTTCCCGGGCTAAACTGCCGAGGGAGCGTCGTCCGTTTGGGCGGTAGGGAGAGATTTAAAACAATTACAAGAAGCCGCGGCAAGAAGAAGAGGGGAGCTAATCTTGAGGGCGGTTTAATTAAAAGTGGTACCAACTGACGGGTATGCCCATCGATCAACACCGCCGGCTTCGCGTTCACGACGTCGTTCTGCAACGTTCCGCGATTCTTCCGTCAGACAATCAGCCTGTCTTCTCGGCAGAGGGAAGTACATAATTTCGCTGAAAACGAGCACGAGTTATTAAATGTCAGCAAATTGCAAACTATACTTCTTCTTGTCGCCCTCTGTTTTCCTTTTTTCTGTGAGAGTTATGGATTAATTTTTCATTAGGCACGACCAAATAAAAAAAACTGAAATAAATTAATACAAACATAAAAATACTTAGTAAAAGACGGTAAAAAAATCTTGGAAAAGATAAGAGAAAAAAATATATTTTTATTAAAGATGTTCATATCTAAAATTGCATCAAGCTAGATATTAATGATTATACAGGTTACTTTCAAGTATCTTAAAACGCAATCTTTTCCTGTTCGTTACGATTAACAAATAATTGTGAAGATGAAAAATTATCACGAAAATAAATAAGCATTTTACTATTATGTTACTTGTGAAAGGAATAAAAATCGATCGAAAATATGCGACCAATTACTAAAATGATTATAAACGTTCTCGCGTGACCGTTGCTCGTAAGACATGCTGGAGAAAAATCTGTGACGTGCCGAAGGGGACGTGAGGGCGTCTTGGAATCCGGGATATGTCCGACGGAAGCACGTATCAAGAACGGGCGAACTCTCGTGCTCGGTATCTCCGACTCGATTGGTATGTGTCGAGAATGTCCACCGGGTGACGTTTTAACGCCCTGTCACTCCGTCAGGCTCCGCGTGCCGAAGTATCCCTTCGGGACATTCCTCCGCGAGAGTTTCCCCGGCTTTCGAAGATTCGAGAGAACGGATATCCGATCATAGTTTGCTCGACTGAAACCACGGATTGCATCCGCTTGTTCGACTTAACTTCCGGATGGTAAACTTATTATATTATAATGTTGTATACTTATACAGACAGTTTGTCAAGAGTTTTTCTCTCCGCATATCGCTACGTGTCACGCGTACTTCGATGTCTAAAAAGAACAAAAAGGCATAAAAACAAGGCATAAAATAGAAAAATTATTTTTTTTTATCAATTTCAATGTACTATAGGCGACCGAAGTAGACCTAACCGGATGTGATGCTGTTTAAAGAACTTTCGCGTCTCCTTAACGTTATAATACAACCGCACGGTACGCACGTGAGACCTTTCACATCGCGATAACGACAGACAATAACTCGCGGAGTATATCAATCCTAATTGACCGGTGTGCTAATAAATCAGTCGGAACGATAAACATTGCCGTCCGCTTTCATTTAGTGCGAAAATTACAGGCGAGCGCGTGCTATTTATATGAGAGCAGGGTGATCAATCTCGCCGATAGGCGTAAAATTGTCTTCTCTCTCTCTCTCTCTCTCTCTCGCACTCTCTCTCTCTCTGAAAAATCTACGATTGCAAAGGATACTAAACACTTGTATAGATTTGTGTTCAACATTAAAAGAGACGCACATTGCGCTTTTCTATCATATAAACTATGCTGGCTTAAAGTGAACAAGAGAAGAAACTATTCCGTTAGTCAATTTTATTGTATTATTTTGTCTCAGCAATCGAATACCCTCTTTAATAGTTTCAAATTTAGATCTGTATCCCAATTTTATATCTTAACGACAGTATCGATATCGTTATATTGATGTTGCGCAGATATTATATATGATAAAAAAAGCTACACAACGACAATATAACGTTGTCAAATTGTTAAGAGTTACATAATTCGTTAAGAGTTAGAATCGGAGCATTGAGGAATTTAGCTGTTAGCACGAGAACGGCTAATAGTCTTCTTTCTCGTCCGCAATGTAGAACATAAACTATACAGGCGCTATTTTAAAACGCGGAATCTAAAATATGGAATGACCTTCCGCTTGAATTTCGGAATATTCAATTAATAGACAAATTCAGAATTAAGTTGCATAAATATCTATTGCAAATCACAATATCATGGCAGCCGCTTGATTGCTTTAGTTTGCTTTCGTGTCGGCTGCAAGTGCACTCGAAGAGTCTATTTTTTTATTGCTGCACTCTGAACTGGTACAA